AGACAGATCCAGTTTTGAGTGTTGGTGGAAGATCCGAGACAGATCCAGTTTTGAGTGTTGGTGGAAGATCCGAGACAGATCCAGTTTTGAGTGTTGGTGGAAGATCCGAGACAGAGACAGTTTTGAGTGTTGGTGGAATATCCGAGACAGATCCAGACTTGAGTGTTGGTGGAAGATCCGAGACAGATCCAGACTTGAGTGTTGGTGGAAGATCCGAGACAGATCCAGTTTTGAGTGTTGGTGGAAGATCCGAGACAGATCCAGACTTGAGTGTTGAACTAAGAGCTAACATCAGAACATTCTTGAGATTCCTATAAAGGCTCCGTCTTCATTTTCTTCTCCCAGGAAGAGTTCTAATTCCGATAGTGCCAGAAGCCGTTTGTTTATATCTCCTTTTGTCTTTCTTTGAATGAAGAGTATCGAACAGATCCCCTGCTTACTCCGAGCTGTACCACTCTCTCCAGACCACAATGATCCATTCATGCCTCTCACTTGTTTCCAAAGGGCCCTGATATAAATGTACTTTTTGTGCATTATTTGCCACACATTGGCGCAGAACTAGGCAGTCTGTCTGCATGTTCATTTCCTAACCCTCATGCTTGCCCTTAAAAAAAAAGTATTTAAAGAACGCTGACTACCCAGTACCTCTGAAGCGATGCTTGCCACTCTGCACGGAGCATGACTGTATCCACCTTTCCTAACATGGTTTGTGAGTCGTTTACAGTCACGACATGTGTGTACAGCTGGATCTCAAGCAAAGCTGTACATGAGAGATGATACTAAACATTACATTGATATGTTTCTGTGAACAGATGTTTTAACATTTAAACATTACAAGACCTGAACAGATCGTTTAAACATTTAAACATTACAAGACCTGAACAGATCGCTTAAACATTTAAACATTACAAGACCTGAACAGATCGTTTAAACATTTAAACATTACAAGACCTGAACAGATCGTTTAAACATTTAAACATTACAAGACCTGAACAGATCGTTTAAACATTTAAACATTACAAGACCTGAACAGATCGTTTAAACATTTAAACATTACAATACCTGAACAGATCGTTTAAACATTTAAACATTGCAAGACCTGAACAGATCGTTTAAACATTTAAACATTACAGTGACTAAACATTACAGTGGGAAGTGACTAAAGTTTTAGAACCGCTGATTATTCCCTGCCTAAAGATTGTGATGAAGCATCGATTGCCCCCCCCCCCCCCCTCCACGCCCCCACCCCCTCCCGTCTCTCACAAGCATTGGCCATGCCAATCGTTGCCAGATATGACACAAGTTTTGCCCCGGGCGTGGCTAAATCAGCAATTAATGATGAGATTCGGGCAAACCCTGAATTTTTGAACAATTAAATGTGAACATCAAATAGCAGACCAGAAAAATAGTGAGATAAACAAGAAGCGTGTGAGATATAGTCCAGTCAGCAAACATGGAAAGTAGCTTAGTTGTTGCAGCCATGTTGGTGATCAGAATAGTTACAGAGATAACCTTGACAATAAGTCTCCTGGTGTGTTTGGTAACTTTTGGCAATGAAGGCGGTCGGCGTGACGCTGATCACATCACCTAACGAGTCTATAGCACCATATGCTCAATGCAGAACTGACTTTCACCCCCTGTTTTTTCATTGCGTCATGGCATCTACTTGCGTCCATCAGTGTGGACAAGCTATTGTCCCTGTTAAGTGCACAAGCTGCGGTCACTGTTGAGTAGACAAGCTGCCGTCACTGTTGAGTGGACTGGCTGTGGTCACTGTTGAGTGGACTAGCTATGGTCACTGTTGAGTGTACTAGCTGTGGTCACTGTTGAGTGGACTAGCTGCCGTTACTGTTGAGTGGACTAGCTGTGGTCACTGTTGAGTAGACAAGCTGCCGTCACTGTTGAGTGGACTAGCTGTGGTCACTGTTGAGTGGACTAGCTGTGGTCACTGTTGAGTGGACTAGCTGTGGTCACTGTTGAGTGGACTAGCTGTGGTCACTGTTGAGTGGACTAGCTGTGGTCAATGTTAAGTGGACTAGCTGTGGTCACTATTGAGTGGACTAGCTGTGGTCAATGTTAAGTGGACTAGCTGTGGTCACTATTGAGTGGACTAGCTGTGGTCACTGTTGAGTGGACTAGCTGTGGTCACTGTTGAGTGGACTAGCTGTGGTCACTGTTGAGTGGACTAGCTGTGGTCACTGTTGAGTGGACTAGATGTGGTCAGTGTTGAGTGGACTAGATGTGGTCACTGTTGAGTGGACTAGCTGTGGTCACTGTTGAGTGGACTAGCTGTGGTCACTGTTGAGTGGACTAGCTGTGGTCACTGTTGAGTGAACTAGCTGTGGTCACTGTTGAGTGGACTAGATGTGGTCAGTGTTGAGTGGACTGGCTGTGGTCACTGTTGAGTGGACTAGCTGTGGTCACTGTTGAGTGGACTAGATGTGGTCAGCGTTGAGTGGACTAGATGTGGTCAGTGTTGAGTGGACTAGCTGTGGTCACTGTTGAGTGGACTAGCTGTGGTCACTGTTGAGTGGACTAGCTGTGGTCACTGTTGAGTGGACTAGCTGTGGTCACTGTTGAGTGGACTAGCTGTGGTCACTGTTGAGTGGACTAGCTGTGGTCAGTGTTGAGTGGACTAGCTGTGGTCACTGTTGAGTGGACTAGCTGTGGTCACTGTTGAGTGGACTAGCTGTGGTCAGCATTGAGTGCACTAGCTGTGGTCAGCGTTGAGTGGACTAGCTGTGGTCACTGTTGAGTGGACTAGCTGTGGTCAGCGTTGAGTGGACTAGCTGTGGTCAGTGTTGAGTGGACTAGCTGTGGTCAGCGTTGAGTGGACTGGCTGTGGTCACTGTTGAGTGGACTAGCTGTGGTCACTGTTGAGTGGACTAGCTGTAGTCAGTGTTGAGTGGACTAGCTGTGGTCACTGTTAAGTGGACTGGCTGTGGTCACTGTTGAGTGGACTGGCTGTGGTCACTGTTGAGTGGACTGGCTGTGGTCACTGTTGAGTGGACTGGCTGTGGTCACTGTTGAGTGGACTAGCTGTGGTCACTGTTAAGTGGACTGGCTGTGGTCACTGTTGAGTGGACTAGATGTGGTCACT